CCGCAGGCTCAGGCAATCCACTCACCTCAGTCTCCCAAAGGCGCAGGATTACAGGCTGAGCCACTCAGCCCGGCCTTTTTGAACTTTTTTAAAGTTTTGTGTATTTTCTGTTTCCACCAAGTACCTGTTGTCTCTTTTGTTTTCTCCATTGGTTGGCCTCTGTCTTTCCTCAGAACTTCCTGGAACCCTCTGCTGCTTCTCGGCTGCCCATTTGCACTGAAGAGCTCAGATGCTCTGTGCATGCTATGAGGTCTGTGGGCTCTAGTCTGAAAGGGCAGGAGCCTGGTTCCATTTTTTTCTCCTCGACAGCTCAGTTTCTCCAGAAAAGACTCTTAACTGTCCTCTGTGGGTGAGTAAGCTGAGACCCACAGTTCCAGGCACCAACTGTAACAGGGCAAAGGCGTCTGTCACTGGCCAGTGTCTGTTCCCACTCGAGCCCTGCTGCACTCTCTCAATCCGTGGTACCCTGAGCAGAGCATCTCTGTAATTCACCTCATCAGAAAATGACCTCAAGCTCTCTGCAACTGGTGAGTGAGAGGAAAGAGAGAGGATGTGGGCAGTTAACCTACTCTGAGTCTCACAGGAGGCAGAGAATCCAGGGGTCTAACTGATTCTTAAAGCAGACCTCTACCCTATCCTCTGGTTTCTGGTCCCCATTTCGACGCTGCCTTCTGAGACACCCACACCTCCAATTTCTGAGACTTTCAGCAGTTCTCAGGTCAAAATGACTTGCTTCTTTTTTTTTGAGATGGAGTCTCACTCAGTCGCCCAGGCTGGAGTACAGTGGCACACTCACAGCCACCCTAGCATCAACCTGCTGGGCTCCAGCAATCCTTCCACCTCAGCCTTCCAAGTAGCCGGAACTACAGGCACACACTACCACACCTGGCTAATTTTTTTTATCTTTTGTATAAACAAGGTCTCGCCAAGTTTCCTGGGCTGGTCTTGAACCCACAGGCTCAGAGAATCCACTCGCCTTGGCCTCCCAAAGTGCTGGGATTACAGGCTGAGCCACGGAGCCCAGCCATGACTTGCTTCTTATTCCTCCCACCCCACCAGCTTCCCCTGGTCTGTGAAGTCATCCGATTGTTCTCCAGCTTCAAAACTTTTGTGGTGCTCTTTATCCCTGAGAATGGATAGATGCAGTTTTGTATCCATTTGCCACGGACTCCCTCACCCAGCTTCTACACCTTCTTAGCAGAAGTGAAGAGGGAACCCCAGATTTTCCAATAAAACACCCCTTCCCAGCACCCACCACCCAGGGCAGGAGTGAGATCCCAGACTCCTGGCTCTCTCCCCAGCCCTCTCAGTCAGCTTCGAGACCCCAGAGCAACCTCTTGGTGCCTTTATTTTATCCCTGTTCACTCTAGTCACCACAAGATGCCTAGGATGCCCCGGTCCTCCCTTGTCATCCAGAATCTCATCTCAATAAGCCCTTATAAATCTATTAAATTAACCTCATTTCCCACCCTTCCCAAAATCCATAACCTCTCCACTTTGCCCTCTGAAGTATACAGTCATCAGCACAAGCCCTGATATAATTAGCATTTCTGCAGGTCACCTTCTTACGCCCTCTGAAACCTGACTCTTCTTTGAGGACACAGCTTTTTCTGCAGTTCTCTTGAGGAGTGGCTTTTTGCTCTCTGTGGCCTCATGCTACTGGGCCTAGGGGTGGCGTTGATATCCTCTGGGCTCCACATGGCCCCTTCCTGGTTTCCTATCCTCCCTAAACCATCCTACAAATTGATTTTCTGCCATCAGACTAGACCCCCATTGTTGACCACCCATCATTGTTACAGATCCTGTGCAATCTGGGGTACTCCTCTTTATTCCTTGTGGGTCTTAATTTCGGGATCCTGCTGTAATCCTTGGATACCTTGGGCCCATGTAGTCTCATGGATGATCCTTCCACATTCCTGGCCTCTCAGTTCCTTGATACCCTTCCCCCACTGATCTGGTCCTCTTCCCTGCCTTAGCCACCCATTCAGATGGTCAGCAACAGTGATGGCTCCTCCTCCTTAGTCTCATTCCAACACCCACCTACCCCCTATTAACCTGATCCTGGTACCATTTCAACACCACTGGGACTCATGTCCTTTATTCCTTCTACCTGCCTCTTTCCTTCCCCTCACTCCTGCTTTCCTTTCCCTTAAATTCCAGATCTAGCTTCATAATCACTCTTTGGAACATGCCCCAATTTCTGTGCCCCTCTCCCCTTTTATTGAACTCCTCTGGCAAAACTATAATACTGGCTGAACCCAGCTTCCCACTTACTCTGTGCCTGCACCCAACGAAGCTGAGTGTGGCTGAAAAAAACACAATCTATAGTGCTGAAATATCACATTGTGGCCGGGCTCGGTGGCTCAGCCTGTAATCCCAGCACTTTGGGAGGCCGAGGCAAATGGATTGCCTGAGCCCGCAGTTTTGAGACCATCCCAGGCAATTTGGCAAGATCTTGTCTCTACAATAAAAAAATAAATAAAAATTTAGCCAGGCTTGGTAGCATGTGCCTATAGTTCCAGCTACTTGGAAGGCTGAGGAGGAAGGATTGCCAGAGCCCAGCAGGTCAACGCAGGGGTGGCCGTGAGTGTGCCACTGCACTCCAGCCTGGGAGAAGGAGTGAGACTCCAACTCAAAAAAAAATGTCGCATTTTAAACACATGTCCTGGAGAGCTGGAGAGTGGAGTGGCTCTGCTCCATTCTAGACTTCTGTTCCACACCATCCTCTGCCCTCTCCCTCCTCACACTCAGATGGTACCCCTATGTCCTAAATCCCTGAGAGGTAAAGATAGAGTTAAAGAAAGAGGAGTAAGGGAGTGGAGGGAAGGGGAGGAGAGAGGGGAGGAAGAAAGAGGAAAGAACATCCCCTTGATTCCACCACACCTGCCAGTCCTCTGCCCTGGGCCCCTGTACATATGCTCTCCTTCCTCTTACTCTCCCTGCTCAGATCTGAAGTCAACCACTTCCCCTAAGCCCCAAAGCTCATATTCTCTTGTCCTCAAAAGAACACTGTTCCAGGAGCCTTTCGTCTCTCCCACACCTCTCATGTGTCATGACAATCAGAATATAAGTGGGCTCCAGTATATTAAAAGCTCTGTCCGGTCCCACAGTCCTCCAGCCACGGCTCCGTCATTTTATTGCTGTTTATAGCCAAAGCTCCATGAAAGGAGGGCAGAGCTCAGCCTCCAAGTCTTTGTTTTTGTTCCCTCCGGGACCCACTCCAGTCAGACCTTTGTCTGTACCACCCCCTGAAACACCTTTTCGCAGCCTCCAGTGACTTCCACATTGTGACATCCAGGAGTCAATGCTGAAACCTCGTCACAGTGGGAAGATGAGCCACTTGGGCACAGCTTACCGCTCCCTCCTGCTAGAAATGCTTTCTTCCTTGGCTTCCAGGAAAAAAGAACTCGTTTGCCTCCTAACTCATTTGATGCTGCATAATAAATTTTCCCCAAGGATCACTTGAACCCAGAAGTTCAAGGCTGCCATAAGCTGTGATCGTCGTGATCAGGCCACTGCACTTCAGTCTGGGTGACAGAGTGAGATTCTGACTCAAATAAATAAATCAACAAATAACCCCCAAAACTTAGTAGCTTAAAACAACATATCTGTTCCCAGAAGTGTTCTGTGTTGAGAGCATAGTAGAGGAAAATTTGGTTTTCCTATGAAATGCACTACTTTTGATCTTTCTGAGGTCTTCACAAAAGATTTGATAGTCACATCCTTGGTTTCATCTTTAGAATGCATATTCCTGAAAGTGCCCTGGATTTGATTTTCGCATCATTTGCTGCCCGGAAACTGAGAATTTTTAAAGTCATCAAGTCCCAGTTCTTTCATGTTGAACAGTCCTGCCTATGGTTTATCTCTCTCCTCTCTCACTTTGCAATGAGCCAAAAGAAGAAATCAGGTAGTACCTTCAACACTGCCTGAAAACATCAGCTACCCAACCCAATTCACTAGGTGCATTTGCTACTTTCCACATTACTGCAGGTGGCAGTGTTACTAAACTTTCTATCATTGCATAACAACAAACCCTTTTCCTTCTTACCTACTGTCTAAGTGATCTTGGAAAAGGTACTTAATGTCTTCACCCCCAGTCTCCTTACTGATAAAAACAGAACTGATAATACCCACATTATCAAGCTATTTGGAATCCTAAGTAGGATGACATCTTCATAAACCATCAGGCATAAGGTCAATGGACAAATGTGACGCTTTACGGGGAATGAGGTATAGTAAAAAGAGAAGCCACCTGTGTTACATCAGAGACAACCCAGAGCTGATTGCAACTGAAAGACAGATAATGTGTGAGCAGCAAGTGAACTTGGGGACCTACAGGGAGTAGGCTCCTCTTCTGGGTGAACAGCAAAGGAAAACAAAGGAAAAAAATCGGGGTGAGGAATCTGACCAAGCTGGGCTCATAATGCACACACACTCTCTGGCCAGTAGAAGTCAGAGGTGGACTTCCTCCTTGTCAGGAGGTGTAGCCAGGAACCCAGGGCAGGGGTTGCCTTTGCAGCTGTGTGCAATTCTGGGGCTTTCCCTGAATGGCTTCCTGTTTTCCTGTTCTGACTACAGGTGGGGCATGTGGTGGAAAACTCTGATGGAGCTTAGGAGCCAGGATAGCAGTAAAGCCACCTGCCACTTTCAACAGGTCACTGACCTCTCTGGACCTCAGCATCCTCAGCACACCCTCAGCACGCACTACCACCACACTGTTGTGAGAAATAAGTTAAATAAAGCTAATGAACATCCTAGTAAATAATAAAATTATAAGAGTATTTTATCCCTGTTTCCTAAGCTTCCTTCAAACTCTAAAACTCTCCCACAGACCCACATTTGTTCTCTAGGGAACCAACTTCTCTAGCTTGCCCTCTTTTTTCCATCACCATTGCTTATCCTCAGTTCTCACCATGCCCCCCACCAGAAGTCTGAGAGCACCCTTAGGTGCTGTTGTAAACAGGGGAGGGCACAGCACATAAGCCCAGTGAGTAGAGGGGCCAGCGGTGAGCAAGGATTGGAAAGAAGACCTGAATTTGTCTTTTTCAGCTCAGACCTGTGTGAACTTAGGCAGGTCACTGCCCCTCTCTGAGCCTCCGTTTCTTCCACATGAGGGTAAGTCAGTGAGCTTGAACTTGAACACTTCCCTGTGCCCAGCTCAGAGTTACCAGGGTCCGAACACTGCAGGACACAAACAAAAGGAGCCAGCCCAAGAGCACAGCTCTAAGTCCATAGGTGGAGGGGTCTCTGTGGAAGATTCCAGACAGACTAAGGGTAGCGGACAATGGAGGTGGAGCAAATTGGAAAGGTGGTGGCTGGGGAGGAACAGAAGAGCGGGACGCCAGTGGGCACCAGGCAGTGGGGGAAGGAGCACAGCAGGGATGAGGAACTTGGTTATGAAGTCACATTAGTCAGAACACCATGACTTCCCACGTGCCCAAGACGGAGGATACACGGTCCCAGAGAGGAGGGGAAGACCCAGCCTGTGTCTACTTGCTCCTAAGGTTCTGGGAGCATCCTGGTGCCCACAAAACCTCCCGGGGTGGAAACACATCACTGACCCCAGTCAAGCCTGAGGTCTATGGGGCACAACGGGGTTAAGACTGTGGTCAGGATCCAAATGTCTCTCTGATGCTGTTGGCTGTCTCTAGCCTATCCTGGGACAATCTGGGCTCCCAGAGTCTGGGGTATAATCCCAGTTTCCTGCCTCCTCTTTCCAGTACTCATCAGTCTTCCTGGGCTCATCTGGGAAACAGGTTGCACACCAGGCCCAGGACAGGGAAATCTGGGGAAGGCCACAATCTCAGGAAGACCAGAATTTCTGTTCATGGTTAAAGTGCTGAACTTTTACAGGGAAATCTGGGTAGGGACTGAGTCCTAGAGGCTACTAAGAAATGATCTTTAATTTCATTGTCTGTGATCATATTAATTGGCTATGTAGCAAGAGGCTCTTTTTTTAGAGATGTATGATCAATTATTTAAGGGTGAAAGTCAGGATATCTGCAATTTATTTCAAAATACGTCCACATAAAAAATACAGTGAGTTAAAAATACAGAAGTGGATGTAGCACCTGGACCCTGAGCTCTGACGACAGAACGTACTGCGGGCACATCCTGCTCCTCCAGGGAAATCAGACACACGGCCCGCCCCTGTGCAGAGATCACAAACAGGCACCCCCTGAGCCTCCTGACTAGAAAGACGCACCCCCTTCCCAGCCAGCACCTGGGAGGCTTCCAGCCCTGAGGACCAACACACCCAGCAGAAAGTTCCTGTAGCCATCCATGACAGCCAGGGCAGCCAGCACCACAGCCCAGCCACAGCCTCAGCGATGTGCTCACAGCTCCGTGCAGCCCTAAACTTGGCACTGGTCAGCAGACCTCTGCAACCAGTGCACCCAGAATTGCACACAAAATACCAGGTCTCCTGCTTTCTTCTTTGAAAGCTATGTATGAATAGCATTTTCCCAATTCTAAAAAACCTGACATTCAATAAAGAAAAATGTTAGATTTTTTTATCTTCCTTTTTATCAACCATTTCTCTCCTCCTCCTCCTCCTCCTTCTCCTTCTCCTCTTTTTCCTCCTCCTCCTCCTCCTTTTGAGTCAAGGTCACTCTTGGTTATCTAAGCTGAACTGTATGGCACCATCACAGCTACCGCAGCCTCAACCTCCTGGGCTCAGGTGATTTTTCGGCCTTAGCCATTCAAGTAACTGGGATTACAGGCATGAGCCACCAAACCTGGCTAAATATATATATTTTTTATTTTGTAGAGATGAGATCTTGCTATGTTGCCTAGACTGGTTTCTAATTCCTGGACTCAAGCAATCCTCCCACCTTGGCCTCCTAAAGTGCAGGAATTACAGCCATGAGCTGTGGCAGCTGGTCTCAACCAACATTTCTCAAGCATCAGCAGGTAAGGCAGCAGGAGTGGGTGGCACAGCCATGCTTCCAGGGCTGAGGCTTCCTCTCTCCTCCTGCCTCCCCTCCTCCTGAGCCAATCCCATTCCCTCCACCACCCCCTTTGAGGAGCCCTGCTCTGCACACTCTACTCCTGACTCCCAGCTCTCGTCTCCTCCACCTTTTCCTGAAGGCAGACACCTCTCGATCCTGAAACATATCTCGATCCTGGAATCAAATCTCCTCCTCCTCTCCCTTCTCCCCTCCAGCACCCACAGAATCTCTTGGATTAACTGACCCCAGTTAAGTCTGGGTGTGAAGCCTGTGGGGTTTAGGACTGTGGTAAGCATCCAAATGACCCTCTGACCCTGTCAACTATCTCTAGCCCATCCTTCTGGAGAGAGGAATAAAACCGGGGCCCAGGAAATGGGTAGTCTGGAGAGAGAGAGGAGGAAGAGGAAGAAGACAGAGGCAGCATTTGGGTTGACCATAGTTTTCTCCTCTCCTCTCCTCTTCTGCCTCCAGCCCCAACCCTGCCCTGCCCATGTGAGGTGGGAGGAAGCTGGCCAAGGGGGAGCAAAGCACTTCCTGTGGCTGCCATGGGGTGACAGAGCTGAGGCCTCTCAGGGCCACAAGATGCTCCCTGCACCCAGGGGAGCTCTGTCTCTCTTTCCTCTATTCCCAAAGAGCCCATTTCCCCAGGCCTTCCACCCTCTGAGATAAGGCTTTGTCCTTCTCAATTCTTCCTTCTCAGAGGTGCTGGGGGACCCTGATGAACCAGGCCCATTTCCTGGGACTACATCATTTCCCCAGTCCCTCGGTCCCCACCCCAAAAACTGAAGGAGAGGGGTGGTTTGGATGGGAAGGACCCCTCTCCTATACCTGCTGCTAACAGCATCTCTAGCTGGCCTGCACATGCCCTTGACTTCAGATGAGGGGTTAGGGAAGGAGACAAGGGGCAAAGCAAGAGAGAAGTAGACAGACAGGGAGAGGTGGGCCTGCAACCACAGGGCCAGCGGGAGGCTGATTCCAGGTGTGGTCATGCGAATTGCAGCTTCTCCTTCCCCAGCCCCACGGGGCCCCTGACCAGAGGCTCCTGAGGTGAGAAACTTGTCTGAGGAACCAAGGAAAGGGTCTCTCTGGGTAGGGCCTGCCCCTCCCCTAGAAAGATAGGCAAAGGAGAGGGTCTCAGCAAATCACTGTGACGGATCAGTCATCTGACCCAGATGCAAAACATGACTATGTCTTCCCTGTAGTCAGCCTGGGACAACACCCCTGGGTCTGGCTTCACTGCCCCCACTAACAAGGTTCCAACAGCAGGGCTCAGGCACACTGGTGGAAAACACAGTGCTCCCTCTAGGGGGTCAATGCTTTCAGTATTGTCCCCAAGTAAGCTCCTTCCCTGAGAAAATGGGTCTCCATAGGCTTCTGGGAGAAACACCACTCACCTGTCCCCGGAGAAGAACTAGCCCCTCTCTAAAAACAGCTCCTTCATACAGACCCAGGAGGGAAGACTGATAGATTTTTCTACCTAATAAACAACTCTTCTGTATAATAAAAAGATACTAGAAACAACGTTTTTTAAAAAACTGTAACAGGCCTGGCATGGTGGCTCACACCTGTAATCCCAACACTTTAGGAAACAGAGACAAGAGGATTGATTGAACCCAGGAATTTGAGACCAGCCTAGGCAACATAGCAAGCCTCATCTGTACAAAAAAAATAAAAATAAATTAACCAGGTATGGTGGCATGTGCTTGCAGTTCCAGCTACTTGGTAGACTGAGGCGAAAGGATCACCTGAGCCCAGCAAGAGCCTGCAATGGCCGTGATCATGCCACTGCCCTCCAGCCTGAGTGATAGAGTAAAACTCCAATTTAAAAAAAAGTAACAGGATAGGAATATATATTTATTATATTATATATATATGTATATATATATTACCCAAAGATTACTATCCAGAACTTGTGAAATCAATAAGTAAGAAAAGCAACTCAATAGGAGAAACAGAAAGGGATAGAAACTTCAATCCAAAGAAATGTTCCATGGAAAATTAATACATGGAAGACAAGATCAATCTTATCAGTAAATGGGAAAATGCAAATTAAAACAACAATGGGGAATCATTTTTCACCTATGAAATTAATAAAAATTTAAAAGATTGCTTATTCCCAGTGGTAATGAGGTTGTGAGAAAATTGGCAGTCTCAGAAGCTGTTGCTGGGAATATAAATTAGTGCAACCTTTTAGGAGATCAATTTGTCCAGATTTATCAAAATATTAGATGTGCATCCACTTCCTGCAGACAATTCTATTTCTCATGCCTACATGACAGAATAAATCATGTGTGCACAAAGAGGCATATATAAACAGTTATTTGTTGCAATATTTTATATAATAGTGAAGCTTAGGAGCAAATGAGATGGCCTCAAATAGGAAAGCAACTAAAGAAATGATACTGCATCAAAAGTTTAAGGTACCAAGCAGCAGGTTAGAAGGAATGAGGCAAATCTGTGCAAACAAACATGCACAGATCAGATCGCCAAAGCAATTTAGTTCAAAAAATTGCAAGCTGCTAAGTGACACATATCATAGTACCTCATTTATATCCATTAAAATGCAGATAAAAATATATCCATAGACACAATGCGCATATATGTGTGTGTGCATGTGTGTGTTTGTGCGTAAAAACTGGGAAGCGTGTACAAGAATCGCCTCAAGATGCTACTCTGGATAACATCTGGGAAGGTGTATGTGACGGTGGTGAGA